AGGCACGGTGGGGCAGGCACAGTGGGGCACGGGGGCCTTGGGGAAGCACCGGGATCGGCAGCAGGCAGGGAGGGGACAGTGAGCAAGGGCCCAGGACAGCCCCCGTGGGGAGTCAGCGGGCTCAGGACGTGAGACGGGCACAGGGCTGCCCCAGTAGGCATGCCCATCACTGAGCATCCGTGGCCTGAGTGCGGAGACTGACGGGTGTTGGGACCTCTGGTGGCTGGGTGTGTCTAGAAAGCCTGGGCCACCGAGTGGTGTCTCTGGGAACTGGCAGTCCCACCCTGTGAGCAAGGCAATGTGAACTCTGACACAGACACGCCGCTCTGGGGTACGTGGTACCACGGATGCTTTGTTTGTTTGAACGGCAGACAGGGCCAGGGCTCAGGTCAAGCCCTCCTCCCCACCTCCAGGAAAACCAGGACCAGGGGGGTGTGCTACCTTGCCTGGCCCAATCGGGTTGACCTGGGGGCCAAACCCAGGCTCCCATGGGGCCCCGCCTGCAAGCCCCCAACCCCCAGGCTCCCCCATGTCCCAAACCCAGGCCTCTTGGGTCTAGAAGAGGCCCGATCTCACCCATACCCATGCTGATCACGTCTCGTCAGAGACCAGCCACCACTGGTGGCCTCAAGGCTGGGCCAGGCATGCCACATGCTGGCTCAGCCCTGCACACCTGCCCCGGGGTGGGGGTGTGGTCTGTAGCTCCAAGAGGATACAGGGTAACGGTGACCCTGCCTGGGGGGCCCGGGCCCTGCGGCACCCTGGAAACCCAGAGGACCAGGTTACCTGATCCCCGGCCCAGCCTTCATCCTGGGCTCTTGGAAGGGCATCTTCCGGGCCGGCAGTGCCGAGGGGCCCTGGAGCAGGAGGGAGGCCTATGGGCCTGTAAGTCGGGGTACCGTGTGTGCAGTGCGGAGCCAGCTTGGAGAGCGCCGGGACGCTCCCATGGAGCCCTGCACTAACATCTCTCCTCGTCAGGGCTCAGGGCCTGGTGTCACCAAGCTCCCCTGGGCGCCTGGCAGGGAGCCGGCCCGGCCTGTTCTCAGCACACCCCACCATGGGCGGAGGCCCGGGCTGGAGCAGGCTGAGGGGCCGGGGCAGCAGGCTCAGGGGTGGAGGACGTGGGGTCTCCATCCTGCAGGACTTGCCAGGGCCCCGCGCTGAACGCTCCGGGTGCACGTGGGCTTCCCCAGGCTGCAGAGCCTCGAGCGTCTCAGGAAGGACAGGCCCCGACTGACAGACGGGGAGTGGGACGGGAAGGCCTCAAGTGGGTGCTCAGGAAAGGACCGACAGCTGAGGCCTGGCAGGGACAGCAGGTGCGAAGGCCCTGAGGCAGACCCGCCCCATGGGGGAAGAGAAAGGAGCTGCAGGGCAAGAGGAATGGCCTCCCAGGTGGGGTGGGGAGGCGATGGCTGAGAGGACGGAGGCCCCCACAGGCCCCAAGGAGGCCAAGCTCATCCCACCAGAGCGAGATGAGCAAACAGAGTTCTCAAACTGTCCCCGGAGTGTGACAGCTGGGGCCACGCACGGGCTAGTGCCACTGTGACAACTGTGAGGCAGCACAGGTGAGGGGGGACAGGGCCACGCATAGCCGCCTCCAGGTGTGTGCCCTCCCTGCTCACCTGACCACGCAGGCCAGTCTCTGGGCTCTGAGCCCGCTGTCCCTTTACAGGTCGAGCTCCACCCCCCTCTCCACGCAGGAGGACGTGGACAGCGAGGACAGTGAGGTCAGTGGGCTATTCTGGCCAGGTCTCCAGGGGCCACCTGTCCTCTGTCTCCCTCCCCTCCCGTCAGCTGCCCCTGCCCCATCCCCTCCACCTACACCTGCAGGAGCTGCCCCGCTCCCTCCCTGCCCCAT